ATTTATCCGGGCTAGTGTGGACGTAGCCTGTGTTTCCCAGCACAGTCTGAAGAGTGAGGAGCAGATAGTAGGAGACAGGCCAGAGCTGAAAGTTCATCGCAGTGTGAATGCTAGATAGAATTGTGTGTATGCAGGTTTGAATTGGTAAATTATGTTGTGTAAAGCTCCTTTATCATTAACCATGCTAGCCAACAGTACCCTGTACTGCTGGGATGAAATCCTCAGAGCTTGTCTTAATGCACTCGGTCCTGGGCTTGTGTTGCAGGGCAATACCCAGTGACCTGGCAATTATATAATGATGAAGACACTGATGTCACTGCCTGGCCCTCATGTTTCACACACCTGAATCCCTCATCCAAATCTGGGAGGAGATCCCCCCACCACCATCCACCATCTCATCCAGCCTTCAAAAGGCTGATGATTATGGTTTTCACTAACCTTTGTGACCCCTGACCCCTTCTTGTTTTCAATGAATTTCAAAACGTACGTCAAATTAACATGAATATTTTTTAAGGTCTGATGTGTGACTTTAGTACTCCATTTATTGTTTTGAGCAGTGCACATAATATTCTGTGTGAAGCTGTGTGTGGTACCTTATCAGTTAGACTGAGACTAACTCTAGAAATCAGCATCATCTCAGCCAGGTCATGCCAGCCATGTTCTGAGGCAATGTGTAGTGCGGTCTGCTGCCTCTGTCGCCCACATGACAGACAACCATTAAGTAAAATTACTGTATTATAGGACATTTTATTATGCATTGTGTTCATGTGGCTGTGGAACTTTGTACTTACAATGTCAGTGGCATTCAGGTTGCTGCCAGCATCGATAAGCAATCGTACAACTTTTGTGTGATTGTTGAAAACAGCCAGGTGGAGTGGTGTGCAGTGTTGCTGTTTCAAAGAGAAACAGGTATTAAAAAGCTGCGCTCTATGATATTAACTTTTAAAATGTTTACAAGTGTTTACTGCCTAATTTTAGATTTCTTCTTCATTTTATGCACCAAAATGCTAACATGCTAACATACCACTGTGTAAGAATACCCATATGGAAAAGATATATATAAATCTTATAAAGCTTTGTGTTATGTGAAACTTGTGTGAAAAGCATACAAGAGTGAAAACAGATATAAGATCCTTTGATAAATTATATAAATGAAACTTGTTTTGGATACTTACTAAAACAATATATGAAAGTAATGAGAAAGTGGCCACTTTCATGAGTAAATCATATAAGCCTTATATGAAGTAAGCCAAATCTTATGCAAGTCTTTTATAAATTTCTTCTATTTCTTTTCCATATGGGTACTTTAAAAGAATTATCATAATTATTTTTTTCCGGAGATAGCTAACAGTGCTTACATTGTTTATAGCATCTACATTGATTCCTGCCTTCAGCAGCAAGCTGGCCTCTCTGTCATGACCATGCTGTGCCACATAATGGAGAGCATTCATTTTTCTCTACAGACAGAAGATAAATATTAATTCATGAAAATAACACTGCCAACCCACTCTTGAATTGCATATTTAAGTAAACAAGCATACATTAGTTTGTGCATTGACATTACAGCCAGAATCCAGCAGAAGTCTAACGCATTCATAGTGACCTCCGTCAGCTGCCGTGTGCAATGGTGTGAGATCATCCTACAACAACACAATACAACAGGTACAATCAAGGTCAAAGGTTTTTACAGTTTAAAGCTTATTATTCACAAGCATGAAGAAATGTGTTTTTTCAGGTTCAAAATGCTTGAGTGATCCCAAGAGTTTGGTGAGTAGGAATCATTTTTGCTTAGAAGGGTCTTGCAAGGCCAACAGGTCCTGGGTCAAAGGGCAGGCTACTTAAAACTAGAGAAATCGCTGTGATTAGGAGTCAGCTACCTCACCCACATAAACTAACATTACTAACTAATAGTTTTTCCCCATGCTGTGAAAGTTCTTTTATTTTTTGGCAAATTCAAATCTGGTCTTCCTGTTCTTGAGCGTAACCAGTGGTGTACACCTTGTTGTAAACTGTCTGAGCTGGCTAGTATATTCCTTCTGGTTGAAAATGTCCCAAATGTTATTTTGGCTCCTCATAAAACTTTTTAATCTCTCTCTGATATGTTTATTTAGTTTTTCATTTAATGATGGCTTCTGTTGCTTCATCAACATCTCCTTAAAACTCATATTAAGTGTTCCAGTAAACAGCTACCCAATGCCAAGTGTAAATGGTTGTCTGCCTCTCTGTGTTAGCACTGTAACAGA